ACGAGAATAAAGTCGTAAAATTACGAGAACAAAGTCGTAAAATTACGAGAACAAAGTCGTAAAATTACGAGAACAAAGTCGTAAAATTACGAGAATAAAGTCGTAAAATTATGAGAATAAAGTCGTAAAATTACGAGAATAAAGTCGTAAAATTACGAGAATAAAGTTGTAAAAATACGACAATAAAGTCGTAAAATTACGAGAACAAAGTCGTAAAATTACGAGAACGAAGTTGTTAAATTATGAGAATAAAGTCGTAAAATTATGAGAATAAAGTCGTAATAGTAAGAGAATAAAGTTGTATTTTATGCCAACTCTTCCAAGAAATGTGAAATGTGTTGCTGTACGATGACTTTATTTTCGTAATATTTACTTTATTCTCAAAATAAAAAAAACAAAAAGTCTCTAGCCTGGCCCTGATGTTCTGTCGTAATCCAGAAACCCTCAAGTGGAAAAGTTTGAGTCTCACCTGGTTTAATTTCGTAAAAGGAACCTTTTTTTCCATTCGATTATTAATTGATTAATCGAGAAAATAATCGTTAGCTGCAGCCCTAAATGCCACCAGGTTTCCATGGAAACATGTTTCTGCTGAATCACAGGTGATCTGGGGGTAACGGTGTTTTTATTGGGTCCCCTGGAAGGTGAACCAGACAGAGGTCGGGTTCCTGAACTGGGATGAGAAAAGTTTCCTGTATTTAACCTTTGAAATAAACAAAATTAAATCAGAGATCCACTGATCCAGGATTATCCCTGACATCAGTCTAACCATCCACATCCTTTAATCTCATTTTGCTTCTTGTTTTTTCTCCATTACCATAATAAAATAATGATAGCGACTCTGAATTTAATGAAAATAAAGCTTTATTAAGACATTCAGCCAAACATTAACAGAAGGGGGGGGGGGTGCCAATAAGGACTTCCTGATCCAACATTTTATTAAGGCCCCTTTCTCAATCAGCCTTACTTTTATTTTCTGCTGTGGATTATTAGAAAAGGTTTGATGAGGTGATTTTACTGAAACAAAGAGCAGCTGACCCATTAATTACCAACCCTTAGAGGCTTTCTATTCATTCGCTTTTATCAGAGATTTTAGACGCAAATCTTCCAATTTTCTGATATCAGAATAATTCATATCGGGATATCCTTAAGAAGTAAAAGTATAAGTTTCACTTTTGAGTACGAAAGTGAGACAATTTACCAATAAAATAAAGATAATTTATGTTTACAATAAGAAAGAAAGCGACAAAAGTCTATAATAACTAATAGTTTTGTTTTAACTGCATCCATTTTCCTTCTGTTTTATAGATAATTTTCTTATTTGAACAGATCAGTTTGAGTGACTTGTGATTCACTAATGATTGATTAAACGGCTGCATCGATGAGCCGCTGCTGAAACCGGCTCATATCGACCCGTCATGTTCTCTGTCTCCAGCGTACAGAGTCGTTTCTACGGTTCTACTCAGCAGGTCGGAGAAACCCGTAAATCCCTTCGTCCTCGGAGCCTGGCGGCTGCGTCTCTGCGCTAACATCAATAACACCTGTGGGCTCTGTGATGGTTTCTGAGCTTATTGGTTCCTCGTTAGCAGCTTTTGATGCTTTGTCTGACTCCTGCCTCTGCTTTAGGACCGGTTTACCTTAAAGCTCTGAGGGAAATTCTTCTGAAAACCGGCTGGACCAGGTGACTGACTGGGTTTCCTTTGCTGTCTAAACAAAAGCTGCTGCCCTCCTTCATGACCTGTCTGCTAAACATCCGATGGATCTGGGCCTGTTCATGACGGAGGGATGGATTAAACCCGTCCCCGTCTCTCTGAGGGGAATCCGTCTTCAGAGATGAACCGAGGTGGTCCTGATCCCTGATGATTTCTCCCCACCAGCCGTCAGACTAAATGTTTAGCATTCCTTCTTAGCGAAGGCGTTTCCTGCCGACGTGAAAAGGTCATTTTTTTCAGCTCTGCAGCGTGCGGCTCTCTGTCCTCATTCCTTTCAGCAAACAGGAGAGTTAACTGCACTTCTGAGGCCCTCAGATTGATTTTTGCACGGGCGTATGAGGAGTAACCCGCAGCGAGGTTTGAGGAGTCGTGATCGGGACCTCGATGCAAATCACTGGGATCCAGCAGGGCCAAGGCGGAGGATTTCCTGCAGCGTTTTTTGCTGTTTTACATCTGAATGTATGTCATAGTTGACTCCAACGCATGGGCGGGTCTCTGTTTACTCAAGTCAGAGTGAGCGTGCATTTTATCATCCATCCGCCGCGGTGACGCCACAGATGGACAAGCCTTTATTGGCTCTGCACAGATTTTTTTTTCTTTTAGCTCGCTCTCAAATCAGAAGCTGCTGTTGACTCCAAGTTTGTTTCTCTCAGGCATCTTGATCTGGGT